CCCAAGGCCATGAAGATTAAACTCTCTCAACTCTATAATTTTAAAACACAATCCTTGATAAACAAAGCCACTGCGCGGAGAAGCAAGTGTAGTAATACTAAGGACGTGGTGGGTGTCGAACTCAAAACTTCTTGCATACAAGGCAAGCGCTCTATCACTACACCACTACCACATGAGTATAAGTTAAAAATTTTTATCTGATCTGACTAAAATTTATCTTTCCGATAATGGTTATATATATATATATATATATATATATATATATATATATATATATATATATATATATATATATATATATATATATATAGAGAGAGAGAGAGAGAGAGAGAGAGAGAGAGAGAGGGAGAGAGAGAGAGAGAGAGAAAATGAAATTTTATATATATATATATATATATATATATATAAACAAATTTTGAAAGAGAAAGAAATTTTTTTGCTTTAACACAATCATTTTGCTTTAAAAAACTTCAAGTTTTTAAAATATACTTAAAAGCTGTCAATAGCTTTCAGTCACACGGTTCAACGCTTTCAAAAAAGGTTTAAAATTTTAATAATATAATTAAGAAAAACAATTTGGAAAAAGTTTAGGAACTACCCAGTTAACCAACCCAACTGGGTCCCAGCTGGAATTGACTAGGGTAAAATTGGGATTACTGGGAGTGGGTTCGGGCTGGGGTTTGTTTTGGGTGCCGGATGGGTCCCATATGGTGTAAAAATAATGCCACAAATAAAATCTGGGTATTAGGATTGGCATGGGGCTTCAAATACAGCCATAACGGCTTCAAACCAGTCGTAAACCATAAATGGTTTACGGCTGGTTTGAAGATGGGACGCGTTGTTTAATGGTAGAGTGTATTTTCTCATCAAAGCAGTTTTTTTAGCATCGTTTTTATTGAAAAGTTTTGTTGAATTAAATTTACAAAACTCTTTTAAAATATCATATGCAGTAACGCGGCTTGGTTTAGATTTAATATACGCTTGCATTTAAAGTAAATACCCACCGGAACTTCATTTGGTTTTTTTATTGTATTTTTGTAAAAAAACATTTACATATCAGTTTTAATTCTATACTAAAAGTGTAAATATGATAAATTAAATATTTCACACACCAAAAATTATCGCAATAATTTACACCTTCCTATATTTATGAACGGTAATGTACTTGATGAGTAATCTACCCTTCATCTTCTAGGATTAACTAATCTGATCTCTCTTGGAAACCATATATCAAATCCGTTGCAAAATTAGCATCTGCTAAAGTTGAATCTCTTAATCGAGCTTGACACTTTCTTACTCTGGATTTTATTCTCTATCTCTATAAACTTTAAATCCGGTCTTGTATGGAATACTGTTTGCCATATCTGGGGCAGATCTTCTAATGATGCTCTTTCTCTTTTAGACAAGGTGCAAAAACGCATTGTAAACATAATTGGACCTGCACTTGCAGCCAACCTTCAACCTTTATCACAACGTCATAATGTTGCTTCTCTTTCTCTTTTCTTCAAATACTATAATGGGCACTGCTCCTAAGAGCTAGCGTCTCTTGTGCCATCTACTAAATTCATTCTCGTGTTACTCGTCATTCAATTAAGTCTCATTCTTTTTCTATTACTGTTCCTAAGTGCTTCAAAAACTCTTATTTGTCTAGTTTTTTTCCTCGAACATCAGTTCTCTGGAATTCGCTTCCTTCATCTTGCTTTCCAGATTCATATAATTTGCAATCTTTTACCTCGCCTGTTAATCAGTATCTTGCTCTACAATCTTCATCTTCTTTCTTCCAGAAACTTCCAACACTAACTAGTTGTTGCTTGTAGCCTTGTTGGAAGCAAAGATTTAAAAAAAAAAAAAAAAAAAAAAAGATACAATCTAAATAATAGTGATATTGATTATTTTTGCATTTATCAAATTATATAAATGATATTAAACCCTCACCAACTGATTTAAGAGTTTGATGTAAAGTTTACTTGAGTCAAGACTTGAAATTTTAAATGCTAACATATTAGTCATGTTATATTATTGTTGTTTACAAGTCTATTAATGTCATACCTAATTAATAACATCAAACATTTACCGTGAAATAACATTGTTTTAGATTTCCTGCAAGATGCCTGTTAAAAAAAAAAACTGAAGAAACTTTAAAACTAGATGATGGCAACCAAAGAAGCCTCTACTTCAATCTGGCTATTATTATAACACGTATATCGATTTATATACTGTATTGAGTTAGCTTGTGATTTGTACGTGTGTTTTTATTTGCCTAGTGTTTGTTAGTTATATGCAAAATATGGCATGGTATGACACACTGCATGGTATGCCCTAAATAATATTATCAATTTATACTTTTATCTATACTTTGTAAAAATATATGCTATAAATTATTATATTATTTAAATGTTTATTTTTAATTTATAAAATTAGTGTAAAAGCGGATGAAAGCATTAAAGAAGCATAATAATAATCTTTATGGTGGCCATATGAGAGAACTAATGCGACAGTATATTACTATCGTAGAACAATTTTGCATCAAATCATTGTATAATATTAGTTTTTGTTGCTTAAAATATTATGAAATTCAAATATGTTTTTTCAATTGATTCGTAAATGTCAGACCAAATATTCATTTGCCTTATACATTTTATTGCCCTGACAGCGAATTTAATATAGATAAACCTTTACTTTTTAATTTTATATAAAAAATGCGACGCTTTTTAATTAAAAAACTGTCACATTATTTAGCAGATTCGAGATACAAAAATCTGCGAAAAACAAACTATAAAAAAAATGAGAAAACCCGCGGTAAATGAAAAAAATATCTGGGTTCAATATGAGATTTCCCGTCAAAAACCCAGAGTAATCCCAGATGGGACCCAGTTGGATCCCACTGACAGAATTGCAATGGGACCCATGTGGGAAACCCATATGGGGACCCCAGTTGGGTCCCAGCCGGAACCCAGTTGGAATGGTTAACTGGGTAGGTTCCCAACTATTAATTCAAGATTTAATATACAACATTTAAAAAGTTTATATATTTTATGAACAATATTTATAAAAACTTTATATTCTGCTGTATAAGATAGATAGTTCTCATTTTTTTACGATAGCTCTCACAACTTTTAACAATGGTTTAGCAACCGAAAGAAACGCAGAAATAAATAAAAATGGTTTTAAGATATTCAGGGCAAAGTATACATTGGTCTATCTGGAAAAGAATTGAAATTAAGAAGGGTGAATGACCAATAATGGTTTTAAAGTATGATAAAAAAATGAATGATAAATGTAAAATATAAAATTTAAAAATTGTAAAATGTAAAAAAAAATATGTAAAAAAATATTTCAAAACAACTCCTTCATGAACTATTGCAATAATAATCCTTGCATACAAATGCACCACATGAAGGTGCTTACTTGGGTTACTATAAAAAAACCTATATTAAATTCACACAACATACTAAAAAATTGACAAACATTACAAATAATATAAAATTTTTTTACATTTCGTTTCTTGAAAGAACAACAAAAGCAACCAAAAGTACAAGTATTAATCCAATACCGATAATTAGATTTGGCAGTAAGATTTTAAAAATATCAAAAAATCCATCTAAAAGCAGAATTTAAAAAATCTTTTCAACAAAAAAAAATTAAACAAAATAAAAGATTATAAAATTATTGAATACCTTTAAGAAACTGTTTTGGATATTTTTCGGTAGGAAAAACAAGAAATCCTGTACAAAAAGTAAAAAACTTGTTAGAAATTAAACAAAATCTTAAATTTTAATTTTTTTATGATTATCGCATTTTACAATACTTTATTAATTTTAATTTTAATAAACAGTTAACAAAGACAAAAATCAACAAAATCAAAATACCAAAAAGAAATTTTAGATAAGTTAAATATTTGTATTATTTGCAACAGTAATAGAAATAATGGTAATTAATGATAAATACTATTAAATTTATGAATAATACTAATAAACTTATAACTTATTTATTAAAATTATTTGTTACTATATTTATTTGTTTACCTGCCATGCTTGGTCCAATTATATATCCAATGCTGTTACCACAGAATATAAAATTCAAACCGGTCGAAAGATTTTTATCATCTGTTATGTCTGCTATTAGTGATTTAGTAATTACAACAAAGCCTAAATTAATTATTATAAAGTTTATTATTGACATGAAATTAAAATATTAATAATCAAAAAAAAAATATTTAGGATTATATTTTGAAGTGTTTACTTCAGGATATAAACTATATAAAAAAGCAGAAAAAGTGTGCTTTTGTAGCACAGCTCGCTGAATACTATAAGCACTTCAAATATATTAAAAAGCAGCACAAATAAGTTGCAAGAAGACTGTTTGCAAGATTTTTTTAGTTTATGGATGCTCCAAGTGACTATTATGAAACAAAGTAAAAATAGAATTATTGTCTCAGAAGACCTATAGTGACAAATGTCTCTTTATAGCTGAAATTGCAGTTCAACCGCATTTTGTATAGTTATGAAAAAAGCTCTCTAATTACAAAGTCACTTCTGTACAAAGAGTTAGAAACGATTATAGGAACTTAAGATTATAGATTATAGATATATATATATATATATATATATGCATATACATATATATTTATATACATATATATATATATATATATATATATATATATATATATATATATATATATATATATATATATATATATATATATATGCATATACATATACATGTATATATATATATATATATATATATATATATATATATATAGTATATATATATATATATATACATATATATATATATATATATATATATATATATATATATATATATATATATATATATATATATATATATATATATATATATATATATATATATATATATATATATATATATATATATATATATATATATATATATATATATATATATATATATATATATATATATAAGCTGATTGAACAACGCTAACAATTATATATGAATTTGTATTTCCCAGATGGCACCTGATTAATATAGTAGTACAATTGCACTTATATAGAGATGGGCGGACCATTAGTTTACTGACCAAATGTACATTGCAGATGTTTTTTGGAAGTTATGTAGCAGCTTTTACGGTGAGAAAAACTTAATACAAAAAAACTTAATATAAAAAATTTAGAGTATAAAATATAAAACATATTAAACTCAATGAAAATAATGTAGAATAAGGAACCATCAAGACTGGAAATTTCAAGAACAAATCAGTATGCAGAACAGCAATAAAGTGTGTAAAGTGTGTAAAGTAAAGCTAAATTTTTTTTACAGGTGTCAAAATCTTTTTGACACCTGTAAAAAGAAAGTTTAGCTTTAGCTTTGATTTATTTTGTCTAACATTAACTATCTTTAATTATCATTAATTAACATAAGATTTGTATATTAATTACGCTGATTACATTTTATACATATATACAGTAGCGTTTTGTAATTGTAGAATTATTATTTAAGTTGGCAATTTTGTATTTATTTGTAATTTAATGTTTTAATGTTACAATAAACTGTTAAATGCCTAAAAACTGCAAATAAAAAAAAAAAAAAAATTAAAAATAACAACTATAAAATTGTTTAAAATTTTATTTATGCGCATATATGGTAAATTCAAATTTTTGGTTTGTCAGTGACCTTTTTCTACAAAAAAAAAAAATCAAATTAGTGTTTTTTCATTACTTTTGAACAAATATGCATTGATTTCTGACCCAGGAATGTCGTGTAACAAAAAAAGTTATAACCCGAATATATATATATATATATATATATATATATATATATATATATATATATATATATATATATATATATATATATATATATATATATATATATATATATATATATATATATATATATATATATATATATATATATATATTATGCTAAGCAATAAAGCAAGAAATTATCTTCAGTAAATATAACTTGTTGCTTATCTGCAGTTTTATGAATTTGCAAAATATAAACAATGATTGTTTTTCTCTTTTTTTTATACTATAAAAACATATGCTTGGTTTAGTGGTTTACAAACAGCTAGCGTAGTTTTGTAATATTTATGCTGTGAAGATTGTATATGCAAATATATGTTTTTATATATATATATATATATACATATTTTTTAGATTATTATAAAAACAAAATGCTTGTCTCAGTAAATTACAAACTGCTAGTATAGTTTTGTTACATTGCTTTAGTGATGTTTGTATATGTAGATATACAATATATTATATATTTTTGATAAGAATTTGGTGTAAAAATTATTTAAAAGTTTATTAACATTCGTGCACAAATTTTTTACTTTTTAAACTTGATAACTAACACTAAGAAGTTTTTTATAAAACACCTACAAAATTTACAAGTGTTTCATAAAACGAGATATTATTAAGATTCCTTTTATAGAAAACTTTGAATTTACCTATAAATCATTTATTCATTTATTATATTTGCAGAAAAATCTTAAAATAAAATAAATAAAAGATTTTAAGAAAAAAAAAAAAGGCAACTATATACATTTAAAAGAAAAAATGTTCTCTGTTAAATACAGCAATTATTTTATTTTTATATTATTCATGAAAAAGAGGTTTTTAACCACCATTTAAATGAAAGTGATTAAAATTAAGAAAAGCAAAAAAAATATATCTATAGCTTACAACATAAGTTTGCATATTTTTTATATATTTTTATATAATTTTTATATATTTTTTATATTGTATTTTTTTATGTAGATTCTGCATGTCAATTATAATATAAGCAAAGTTTTTGCATTAAAAATCCAACTGATTGTTGTATTTTTAGATATTGCCTAAAGCTTAAAGCCTAGCAGTAACTGTTAGTTATATATACTTTTTATTAATCAGCCATATTTTATTTGAATTATACTATTGATGGTTGGTCCCAAAAGTTTTAAGCACCGTCTAAGAATTATGGTTTTTATTGGTTCAGTAATGCATAATGCGATTCTAAAGGATTGTAAGGTTTGTTTGCATTATCTAAATTTATTATAGATCAAATCTGGTAGCTTCTTCTATAGTTTTGTATTATAAGCTATCATTAAAAAGTATTTGGTAGTTGATGTTCTACGGTTTCTTACCTCCATAGAATTGTTTTTTATGCTAGAGAATCTAGAATTGTATCTATGCGACAATTTACTCCAACATCCAAAGTTTATTCATTAAATTTTAATGGTATAATTAGCAGTGGTAAGTAAAAAGTTTCTTTTAATAAAATTTTGAAGATGGCTTTATCTAAATCTGTTATTGATCTAAAAATGTGGATTGTACTCAGTAGGTACATTTTTTGAAACACTTTTTAAATTTTAAAAAACCTTTGCATATTAACTATATTACCAGTGCTATGGCCCTGGGCCCTACAATTTTTGAGACTTCATAGAAAAATATATTTGTAAAAGAAACTCTAAAAACAAACTAAAAACTTTAGACCTTATTTAAAAAAGCCCTAGGTCCCTAATTGTCTTAATCCACAGCTGTAGATTGCCATTATGTTTTATATGTAATCCAGGTATAAAAATGTGCCAGGAAAAGCAGTTTGATAATTGATGGTGTATTATTCTGTCGTATGTCTTCAACCGTT